CCCTAATAAATATGAAATAAAGTAGTGATATGTTTTCACTAAAATTATACTCTCCTCATAGATTGTCTGTCCATAATATTTCCCAAAGCTTGCAGAATTCTCAGAGGTTAAGTTGGGTGCACTGAAATTTAGAGTAAACTTTGTATCTATTCTTAATTCTGAAATCTTTATATAACATTGTCAGCCAAAATAAATCAATTTTGATTTTTCTCTGAACTCTAACATACTACTTTCTAACTCTTTCCATCTTTTCTGCTTTTACATTATCACTCCGTATGTTGCACAAAAAATAGACTTCACTACAAAATCATGAAGAATTCCAAAAACATGCTTTAAAGATAAGAAGAAATGGGATTTAGAAATGTATCTGAGCTCTAATCCAAGTCTATAATTGTCAATTCAAGAGACATTACTCTTACTGCAAAGAGAAATTCTAACACCAGTCTGGAATTATTCATTCAAGAGGTTTCAAATCAAATATAGTGACCCTAACAAAAAAATCCAGATGTATCATTAGATTCTTTCAGATTATTTTTTTTAATTTTCTTAGCATCTTTGAAACCATCTAAATCATCTATAGGATTGATGTCTTTAAGAACTACTACCTCATTTGGATTTGAAAGCATAAAGTTCAGGAAACTAATTTGGGCAAAAGCTGTCTTCAAGCTAGGTATTTATTCCAAATGCCCTAGTCTGATGCTGGGCAAGCCTGATTCTCCCCTCATAAAGTCTGTGCCCAGTAGCAGAAATGGAAGTACCTTTGGAATTTTATCAGCAAACATTTACGGCCCTAGAAGTTTCAGGCAGATATGATGGCAAGTGGCTAACAAGCTAAAGAACTGGGGATATCAGTAGTGCCAAAATGTTGGCTACAAATACCTTACAGAAACACTTGTTCCTGTTTGTGACTAGGCCCAGACTGCAAAGCAACAGATATTGTTGATAAGTGATTGAAAGTGAATAATTTAAACATGAACTTTTAATAAAAGCAGACTGATTCACCTCTCACCTCTTTCAGATGAGAGATGAAACTCACCTATGACCATCTGTTATCACTAAAGTTCCTGTGGTGATTTTATAGAGCTATGGAGAAAATCCAATAGGATTAACATTCTGAGTTACAATTGTAGACCACAGTAATTGCAATACAATATAAGTAATAAATTATGCTGCTCTTTTTTAGTTGCTAAATTTGGATAGATGATAAAAACTGCTAGATGCTCATAGGAAAACCTAGCTTTTGCTATTTGACTTCCTCAGGAATGGGTTGTTTATATGCAGCATATTATTTTGTGATGCTAGGGGGCTTCATCAAGTTTAGATTCCCCAACCATCTCTAGGACCTCTTGGAACATGGTTGGAGCCATCATGACTATGGTCTGTTTGGAATGACAGGGGAGAAGCACCAAGGTAACTCAGGTCTGAAGGCACCTTCTCCATTTAATCCTATCAGGATACCTAATGAAGTGTACAGATTGCCTTCATGGGGCCTTCAAGTTTACTCTAAGTAAACAGTCTGGTACAGCTATTAATCAGTTATGATGACCTCTCCCCTGGAAGAGGTTTTTCAAATCCTTCCGTTGTGTTCTGAGATAGTTTCAGATAATTGTAAGTACCAGTTATCTCACGGGGGTATGTTTGATCATGATACCGATACAACAGGGTACTGGATAAGTGTTAAAAAGCCCTTAAAAGAAGATCCTGACAGAGTTAATGAGATGGCTGTTGAGTCTGAGAGCACTCTAAGCAGTGTGCCCTCACTAAGAAACTCAGGATCTGGCTTTTCCATCTGGGTTGCCTTTAATGGAATGAACCTCTAAAGCAGACCAGATATAATCCTGCGTAACCACCACTTAAAAATTGTGTCATTAACTGGCTGTGTAACAACAAACTTCATATTTAAAGTACCCAGTCTGAAAAAAACCCAACTTGTTCTAAGTTGTGTTGCTCATATCAGATACCTGGACTTGTAGTACCAACAACCATATTGTAAAGCTTTGTAGCAGTTTAGTCTCAAGATTACTCTTAAAGAACCTGTTCTTAAAAAATTGGTTACACATTAGAAGTGCAATAAACACTTTTCTTTTTAGAGGTTTACATGAAGATTCAAATTATTTCATGTATTTTGAGTTTTACATACTGAACTTCAATGAATAAATAAGAAAATATATTGCTGTCTGACACATCATAATAGCACTTACCCACTATTGATTTGTGGACACTGAGTTGCACTTCCAGATCTTGACAAGGATGATGGAATTTCAAAGCTGGAAAGAGATGATAATGTAAAAGAATCTATAAGAATGATGTAAGGAGCTGTGTGATCAGACAATGATGGTGGTATGGCATATGCCATATCAATAGTTCAGAATAATGAAACAACCTGTCAGAAACAATATTGTACTGAAATGATATTATATTAAAAATATATAGATTCAGGAAAAAAGTTTTCTTTCCATCAAAGTGGCAGTCAGGAAGTGCAGATGATACCACATTTGGTAAAGGTTCTAAATGCATCTTGGGTCTGGTTTTAATAAGAAACATAAAATTGTTAGGTGACATCTTCACTTATGTATGCTACACACGTATCCCTGTGCAGCACCACTCCAGCACAGTTAAGCAGATACACACTACCTGATTAATTTGGCCCAGCTGATTTGCAAAATATTTCATTACCTAGACAACAACAATTTTCAGGAAGGGCAGATTTGGTGGGTGAATTTTTTTTATTCAGTAATTGTGATCAGTTGTTGCCTTGTGAGGGTCTAAGTCATAAACCATTTCTACATGCTGTTCTCAGAGCATGAGTCAAGTACAGGTGACTGTGTGCAATGAGGTACTGATCTTTGCTGAGGTGATTGGAATGGAACAGGTTCTAAGCCTCATCTTTGTAACTGATGGCAAAGAGTATGGCCTGTTTCCCCTGAATCCCACAACTCAGGCTAGGAAAAAGGTATGTTGAGAGGAATGTCACTTCATCCTGTTAAAGAAACCCTGCTGCTCTCAAGAGGCATACCCTTGCCTGTCATTTCACATAGAGATTGACTTGACTAATTTCTATCTTTAAGCCTCAGCTGGTAACAAAGTTAGTTACTGTGTATCAAGGTAAGAGTTAAATATTCCACAGTAATGCCACAGTAATTCCACTTTTGCCAAATAATCTCCAAACCAACATGAAGCAAGAAAAATGCAGTTCAGACAAGTTGCCTTGTCATTCAGATGACTCTTGTGATGGACAGAGTAACCTCCTGGCACCAGCCTACTGTTTGCATGTCCCAGGCTATTCCTTGTTTCCTCCCTCTAACTTTTTCCTCCAGTGTGCCTCTGCCTTTTCCCCCCCGGTCCAACCTCTGTCGCCAAAACACCAAGCAGGACTGACCTTCATAGGGCTTGCTTCCTTGGTTTATCTGACTGCATCCTCTGGCACTATAGGAGTTTGGATGCCTTGTCTCCCCTCACTTACTCTTTTTCATTTATATACTTGCTGTATCTCTCAATTGTACCTTAAACTTGCTCTCAGTTATCAAACTTAAATGAGTTTTTTCTGTTCTTGGTCTGAGATGAAGTAATCTAACTTCAGAAATAATAAAACACAATAAATGCACAAATGGTTTCCTAGACTTGTAAGATGCAGACTGCTCTGAACCTCAATATCTACACCTACATGCAGAGATGTGTCTCTCTAAATATATCCCCTTTTAATATTACAGATAGGCTTGGATTAAGCATAGTTTTTCTTACTAGTTCCTTAATTTTTGACAGTGGAACCATCAACTAGCCTTGCAAAGTTATATATCTTCACATTAAATAATTGTTTGATCTATAGTTTATAAAGCATGTTTACAGTCTGCAAAACACAATCTCTTTAGGGAAAAAGAAGGAA